CATGACAGCACCAGTGTGTGAAGCCAGTTCCCAGATGAGCTCGTCAGAGAAAGCCACCAATGACTCCGCTTCGAATGTCGGCACGCGCTGGACCGAGGGGTTGGATAGTGATGGTCTACATGAATTACACTGTGCCCAAGGAGTGTTACAGTTAGAATCAACAAACATCATCCATGGCATTTCCAACTTGCAGCGGCAGCACCGTAGCACAATAGTAGCGTCGTCGACGGCACCAAAGTCCGTGGAAATACAATCCATGATGTGGCAGTGACGAGTCCATAGTATATTCTTAATTTATTTAATGAAGCTTAATTAAGCTTACATAATTAATCATAAATCATTTATATTTCCCTTTCCAATCGAAATACAGTGGTACTGTGGATTTACGTAGTGAACTTCGTATGCAACGATAAGTGAATTTTTCCTTTGACGCGAAAAAACCTTTTCAGGAAGAGAGTATTTCCATTATATAATGGGATTTTTGTGTCGTACTGCGTATAAATGAATCTGCGTCTTGGTTGGTTAATTGAGTTTGGATTAAGCTTAACATTTTTAACACATTCCTCCACGAGGGCCGATACTAGAACCACATGTTATGGAACCATGGTATCCTTGGTCGGATAATCATGTGATAGCCTTTGCAATCCCAGGGCCGCACACTCCGCATCACCGCGACAGTGCAGCAATTGCGGAACACTACCGCAGCCGGTGAACAATCACTGCCCGATGCGGGGAACGAAGCCCTGCGCGAGTTCTTGCAACGAATTAAGTTGGCGTATCCAAGCGATTAGGAAGACGAAACCAAGGATGACCTCAATGTGGCCAACCAGCTTATCCAGACCTTCATTTGGATGTATGGGATGGGTGGGGTTGACACGTACTCACGCCGTTCCGTACCACCAGCGCAATCCACGGCAGATATGGTGTTACATCAAACACCTAAACGTTTGGCCTCGGGGCCGGAGTCCGGGACTACTTCAGCTAAACGTCCGAAAACGCAGTGGATGAGCAATGCAACGTATCATGGAGAGGATAAGAAAACCATTTTGAAACGTCAACGCTACCGTCGAGATCAACTTCGCATTGCGAAAGCAAAATCGGCGGTAGCAGCTGCGAAGAAGAAGGAGTACCGGCAAACCAAGCGTGTGAAGAAAACTCAAAGCGCCCAGCTGATGAACGACCGTTGGTGGAAGACTTCTTGACGGTGTTTGTTCCCGTTCAGCCCCCGATCATACCAGAAGGCCCTGCCCTGTTGTTTGAAGGGCAAGGCCAAGGTGGGTCCTTATGTTTCCCCGATTTGCCAGAAATGCAAGCGTTCAAAGTTCTCTTCAAGTTGCGTAATTTCATCGAGCACATCCGTCAGTACAACGCTCAGTTCAACTTCACTTCCATTGGAACCAACGAGGTCAAGCACAGCGGCCCCAAGACGTAATGCATTCAAGGCCAGCTGACCCATAACATTGGTCCGTTGCAGCCCAGCCTGAAAAGAAGTGGAAACCTGCTCAACCAAGTTTTGCCCAAATCTACATGCACACCAGCGAGGAGCAACTTCAACACCGACGAAACATGTTTTCAGCGTTCCGTTCGCGGTATACAGCAAGTGATGCATCTCCACAACCCATTGGCGAGAACGTATGCCACTGCCAAAGAACGTTTGCGTTGAGAGGAAGCGGACGGGACATCTGGGGGCAATCTTCAAATTGTCCTGAAGGCTGTTTGTGGCGCGCAGGCTCGAACACACAACTTGCCCACAGTGGCTCAGCTTGCGGTTATCATGGAGGGAGACGGCAGCGAACCGACAGATGGTCGTCACGTGGTTCTGCAAAGTCTGAACTCGAACCGGCTCACAACCATTCGAGAAACGAATCCACTTCACGATGCGTTGCAGTTTACTCTCCTGTTTCCAATGGGAGGTCCTGGATTGGAGTACACCATGACGAAGGCTGACGGGGGATCATTGCCCCTCCGTGCGTTCTTTAACTACTGCCTTCAAGAACGAGACGGCGACGACTTCTCCGACATGCTGCACCGATCCTCCATGCTGTTGATCGCGTGGAAACCAACAGGTTGCGTTACATTTCGCAGAACGAGGACAAGTTGCGATTTGATTTGTACGCAAGCGTCACGGAGGCCGTCGAGAGACGCTCAGGGCTCCACAACGTCGGCATAAAGTCCATCGTGCCTTCAAG